TGCTAAAGCCAATTCCGCTGGGAAGGGATCCCATCCGCCGAACTCTGGTGATGTCAGCTCTCTGCTATGGCGGGCCCCAGACTCCTTGCCGGATTGTCCGATGGGAGGGATGGGTCTGGCCTGTCTCTGGTGTGTCCCAGTCTTGGATTGATTTCTGGTTCGCTTTTTCATGAAGGCTTGGTTAGCAACCTCTTCATAGGGTCTCTCCGCTGCACAGTGCTGAACCGCCTCCCACTGTGCTGGTCGCCAGGCAGCGGCTGCAGCCTGGACCTCCACGCCGCGTGCCGAGATTCACCCGTCTGGGGCAAGCTGTCACCTCCCATAATCCCAAATTCCCCAGCAGGTCTCACTTCAGCAGAATTTTGCTGGGAGTTTCTCAGCAGGTAGAATCTGAACGTTCTAATGCGTCTCTCTGTCCACGTGGTTGAGAAGGTACTGAAAGCGCTGCCTCCCCGCCCGCCGCCATGTTGAGTCTCCCCGAATTTATTCTTTTTTTAGGGCTTCTTTCACTTAGCTAGAAGTGTATGATGGTTCTGGTTTCTCAACATTCTTACCAACACTTATTCTCTGGTAATTTTTGGTTATAGCCATCCTGGTGGGTGTGAAGAGTTATCTCATTCTGATTTTGATTTGCATTTCCTAACAACTAATGACGTTGAATAGACCCTTTGTAGATCTTCTTTGTAGATCTTCTTTGGATAAATGTCTGTTGGAATCCTTTGCCCATTTTTTAATTGAGTTGCTTTATTAGTGTCACGGGAAAACACCCCCCCCAACAGATACAGATAGGTAGGAGGTAGGAGGATAGATAGATACTGAATTCCAGACTCTATTGGGTAGATGATTTTCAAATATTTCCCCCATTTTGCAGATTGTCTCATTTTCTTGATTTGTTCCTTGATGCACAAAAGTTATAATTTTGATAAAATTGATGTAGCTATTTTTTTATTGATCTATTTCTTTTTAGTTGTCAATGGACATTCATTTTATTTAATTATATACGGTGCTGAGAATCGAGCCCAGTGCCTCACACATGCTAGGCAAGCACTCTACCTCTGAGCCACAACTCCAGCCCTTTGACCTGTTTCTTTCTCTTTTTCCCCCAATGCTAGGATTGAGCCCTTTTTTGTGTTTGTTTTTTGAGATGAAGCTTCACTATCTGCTTATAATGGTGGTCTCAGCTTCCTAGACTCAAGCAATCGATCCTTTGCCTTGACCTCCCCAGTACTGGGAATATAGTCGTGTGTCCAGGTTCTGCTGTTACTTATGTTTTTGTTGTCATATCTAAAAAAAATACTGTCAAATCCAAGGTCATGAAGGTTTGTCCCTGTTTTCTAAACATCTCATAGTTGTAGCTCTTCCGTGTAGATCTAATACAGTTTGAGTTATTCGTTGTATTATGTATTGAGGGTAGGGGTTCAACCTCATTCTCTTTATGTGGATATCTAATTGTCCAGCACCATTTATTAAAGATTATTCTCCTCCACTGAATAGTGTTAGTACCTTGTGGTCAAAAACCCAATTGACCATAGATAGATGTTTGGTCTGCCTCTGGATTTTTGAGTTGGTCTGTATGTTCATCTTTTGCCAAGACTTCTGTCAGTTTTAAATCAAACTGGGAATCATGAGTTCTCCAGTTTTGTTCTTTTCCAAGATTTTTTGGCTCTTTGAAGCTTGCAACTCCATATAAATTTAAGAATTAGTTTTTCTGTATATGCAAAAAAGGTCTTTGGCATTTTGATAGGGATTGTATTAAATCTGTAGGTCACTTTGGACAGTATTGCCTTCTTACTATTAGTCTTTCCATGTATTTAGATATTGATTTTTTCAGTGAACAAGCCTTTCACTGTCTAGCCTAAGCTCAGTTTATTCCTAAATGTATTATTTTTTTGGATATTACTGTAAATAGAATTTTTTTATTGGAGCGTCCATTGGTGGAATATAGGAACACTATTGATATTTGCATATTGCTCTTGTACCCCCACAATTATGCAATGTTATTTTCTAGCTGTAGTAGTTTGTTGTAGGTTTGTGTGGGTTTGTATTCTTAATGTTTTCTGCATGTAAGAACAGGTCACTTTCAAATGGAATTAGTTTGACCTCTTCCTTTCCAATGTGAATTTTTTTCATGCCTGATATTTCTGGGTAGAACTTTCAGTGTTAAACACAAGTAGTGAAAGTATCATCCTTGCTTCAGTCCTGAACTTAAGGGCAAAAGCTTTCACTCTTTCACCATTAAGTCTGATGTTGGCTATGGGTTTTTCATAAAGATCCTTTATCATATAGGGTAAATGTTCTTCATTCCCTGGTTTTCTGAGTCTTTCTGTCATGAAAAGGTATTGGATTTGTCAAGTACTTTTTCTGTTTGGAAATAATTGTACGTTTTCCCCCTTTATTAATTCTAGTATTTTGTGTGTGTGTGTGTGTGTGTTTTGCTGGGAATCCCTTTATTTTATAATGTTGTGTATTACATTTATTTTTCTCATGTTGAACCACCCTGGCATTACTGGGTAAATCTGACTTGTGTAATTTTATTCGTCATATTTGTTATTCTTTGACATAAGAGCACTTTTGTGACTTTTTTAAAGAAGACTTTTAAGTTTTGGTTTATATTGTACTTAGCTATTTTGTTTTAGAAACTATTTGTCTCATGTGAAGTATTTCTCGCTTCAGTAACTTTTCCAAATAACTCCCGTTTACTATACTTAAAAGACAGCAGTTTATAGATCTCAGGAGCTTTTTTTCTGGTAAGAATTTAGACTTCTCTACACTCCAACTATCGGTTTAGGCCCTTATAGTGAAAATGACTCAAGAATATTGGAAAGAGAAAAATCTACAATATCTGTTTATTTAATTTCATGTTATACATAAAAATTAAAATGCCAATTCAGAAAATAATATAAACTATAATTTCTTCTTTTCCCTCATTTTATTTTATTTGTTTATTTATTTATTTTGGAGATGGGATCTTGCTATGTTTCCCAGGATGGTCTCAAACTGCTAGGCTCAAACAAGTAATCTTCTTGCCTCATCCTCCTTCCTGGGTAACTGGGACCACAGGTGTGCACTACTATCCCTGGCTCTGACTTTTTTTTTTGTTTGCTTTCTTTTGCACTCTTATGTATAACATACTCAGAAAATGCCTTGGCTCAGTCATCTCAGGTTTTTTTCTTTAGCTGATTTATTTCTACCATTTAACCAGCTACCAACTTTAGACCATAATGACTTCTTCCTCCTAGATTTCTTGTTTCTTTTCATTACAACTGTTCTTCCTTTATCTGTATGATTTCCTTTCATAACCTTGGAAGAGACAATAGGCCTGTTTTGGTTAGAGTCCTTTTATTTGTTTTACTAATGGTTTCTTTGGTTTTCCTATCTTCTCTGGGGTGGGTTTTTGCTATTGATGATGTTTGATGAGATAAGGAAATACATGAGAAAAGAATTGTAGAAAAATAAAGAAGTTTGTAAAGTGAAAATGTTTTTTTGCCTTCCTTGCTGAGAGCACAGCATGAGTTAGGCTTTCCGTAGATGCACTGATCCATGTGCTTATGACAGTTGCACCTGTGTATCCTTATGTGAATCAAGTTTCACAGTATCTTTATTTTATTTTTATTTGCTGCTGAGTATGGAAAGTGCCTCATAAATGGTAGGCGAGTGCTCTACCTCTGAGCCATGAACCCTGCCCAAATCAAGTTTTTGTTCATTTGCAAAGTTTCTCATATGGTAGGCATCATACATTGTGCTAGAATAGTTCTATTGATATTAAAATTGACTGCTGTAATTGTGAGAAAAACAACAATGGGAGCCAGGCACATGAGGTACCTGCTGTAATCCCAGCAACTTTGGAGACAGAGATAGGAGGATCACAAATTCATGACCAGCATGGGCAATTTAGTGAGACCGTCTCAAAATTAAAAATGAAAAGGGCTGGGAGTAACACAACAGTAAAGCTCCTCTGGGCTCAATCGGCAGTAGTACCAAACAAACAAACAAACAAACAAACAAAAAAAACCGAGCAGGGGTGGGGAAGTATATTTCAATGAAAGAACATAATTTAATGAAATGGTTAAATTTTTATGAATGTAGTTTGACAATTCTGCCAAGTTGAAGTCAGGAACAAATTCCAGCTCAGCTTCAAAACAGTTTCTCTTCTGAGCACTTAGACCTTGAAAATGGTACATCTTTGACACTAATCAGGACTAGCACTTATTACTTTAGTTTTCAACCTTAAAATGATTCTAGGTTGGATACCGTGATACATGCCTGTGAACCCAACAATTTGGGAGCCTGAGGCAGGAGAATTGCAAGTTCTAGGTCAACCTTGGCAACTTAGCCTGTTTCACAATACAGAATAGAAAAAGAGGCCGGGGACATCATTCAGTAGTACACCACTCAAGATCCCAGCACACCCCCCCACCCCCAAATAAAAAAGATTCCAAAGCAGCAGCTGATACTTTAATTGGTTTTGTTTGTTTGCTTTTAGTTTTAGATCTCTTTTAAAAAATAGTACAGGGCTGGTTGTCCTTTCAGAAAAAAATTGTTTCTCCAGCATTTGGTAACCACAATATTTTGACTCTTTATCTCTGGACCACACTAATTTGGAATTTGACAGTTAAGTTGAATTTGAATTGGGTGACTCTCTCCCTTGTCCTGTGAAACTGCATGTAATTGGAAATTACATTCTGATATAAAGAAGCTTTTCTTTATAAAAGCTTCTTTATATCAGTTATTTGTTGGCATAGATATGTGAGCTGATCACTGATTATACTGTTTTTTTTTTTTTCTGAAAAGAAATCTGTGTGTCTTACACCTTAGTAATACTTTCTTCCTAGGTAGGCATTCCTTCCATTTCCAAAGGAGACTTTTGTTTTGAACTTCTCTTTTTGCAAAATGTCCAAGGAATCAGAGGACAGTTTTGAGTCTTTAGGAACCTTCTTTTTCACTGTCAGCATGACCTCTTAGAGACATGGTGGTAATCCCCAACCTCTTGTTTATCACAGATCCCAGATTACAGGAATGCAGTCATCATGGCCAAGTCTCCAGTCTCGGCCAAGAGGTAGGTGGGATCTCATACCTGTTCTTGGTTTTGCTTTTAAGGATGTTTCTGATCAAGTCCCAGGCATTCCCAACCAGATGTCAAGGGCACCCCCAGAATCCCTTCTTTCTCTTTCATGTATTGATTTTAAGATTGTCCTGCCAACTCTATTTATTTTCAGTTTCTTCACCACCCCCCCCATCTCAGCCCTGTGACTGCCAGTCATATTTCTTGACCAAAGCCATCCAGGTCTGGGGAATACTAATTAGCACCTCCTTCCCTTCCAGATAGGCAAACACTTGTGGGTCTTTAAATCTGCCATTTAAAATTCTGGTGAATATACCTTGTGGTTGTTTGCTGCCTCTTATTGAAAGAACTAAGTAATTTATTAACAGATATATATCTAGTTGAGAGGCCACTTATTTGTACATTATTAAAGGTAACATTTTAAGAAACTGAAGCTCTCTGAGCTATACAGAGTGGGCAGCCCTGAGTCTGTACAGTGAGTTTTAGCCTTAAGTAACTGATGAGTCAGGGATAGAGTACTTAAAATTGGATTTTGGATGACAGAATTTCATGTGGCATTATTTTCTAGAGAAGCCAGTCGATTGGAGAGGGAAGGAACAAAAGCACAGATAGGAATGAAGTCTTTTTTTCCTTAAAATAGGTCTTCTAAAATGATTTTCCAATTGAATACCTTATCTATGTGGGTCATTGTTGAGTCCTGTGGTATGAAAGAAGGCATAAAGTACCTCCACACTGGGCCCAGGTACTGTTAATATTAAAGAATGAGGAGAATGTCCATAGTAAGCCATGATTTTGTAAATCTTGTAGGTAAGTTGTTTGATATTATCAATTAAGCCTGCCAGTGTGTATGCTTAGTGTATTAAATAAAATAAGTTAGTCTTGGGAAAAAACTGTTATGCAACCCCATTCTTATGGCATACCAACCACAGACAAGCTTGTGTCTCCACCCCACGTGCCTTCTGTAAGCTTTATCATTGGGTCGCTTGTTGTCCATTTGATTAAGTTGCATTTCAGAATATAAGCATTTCAAACAGTTTTTCTAAACATTTGTTCAAAGGCTGCTTTAATTTCTATTTAATTTTCTCTGACTTTCATGCTTTTTAAAAATTAAGATGAAACACAAAATATATTATTGTCCCTTGGCATCTGCAGGGGATTAGTTCCAGGACCACCTATAAATACCAAAATTTACAGATGCTCAATTCCCTTATATAAAATGGGATAGTATTTGCATAAGACCTATGCACTTCCTCTTGTGTTCTTTCAAGTATGTCAAAATTACATACATATGATATTTAATACAATGTAAATGCTATGTAAATTGTTGGTATACTGATAGATGACAAAAGGAAACTACATGTTCAGTACAGCTGTAATTCTTTTCCCCCAAATATTTTTAGCCCCTGGTTGAATCTATGGATGTGGAAGTTGTGGGTACAGAGGGCTGAGAGTAATCATTTTGAAGGTTCCAATTCACTAGCATTTAATGCGCTTATAGTGTTATGCACTATTATGTGTCTAGTGTACATAGTACTGATGAGAGTCAATGTAATTCCCATTTTTTTCTTATGTGTTTTTAGCTATTCTTGTGAGCTGTTAGATAAGAGGTTGTTTTAATTTTTGGTGTTGGGAAACCAAAACTGGGAGAACTTGTGTCCTTAAGACTTGAATGTTTGCTGTGCATTGGGTTCTGGTGTTGGAAGACAGAGTGAAACCTAGTATTCTGCTCCAGAGTCAGGCCAGTGGTTGAGGTGACATGCTGTGGCCAGGAACCTAATGAAGCAAGGCACAAGGCAGTGAGGAGGAGGGCGTAGGTTAAGAAGAAAAGGGGAGAAAATGATGTACCATGGAAAGACTAGTTCTTTTTTTTAAATTTTTATTGTTGGTTGTTCAAAACATTACATAGTTCTTGATATATCATATTTCACACTTTGATTCAAGTGGGTTATGAACTCCCATTTTTACCCCATATACAGATTGCAGAATCACATCAGTTACACATCCATTGATTTACATATTGCCATACTAGTGTCTGTTGTATTCTGCTGCCTTTCCTATCCTCTACTATCCTCCCTCCCCTCCCCTCCCCTCCCTTCTTCTCTCTCTACCCCCTCTACTGTAATTCATTTCTCCCCCTTGTATTTTTTCCCTTTCCCCTCACTTCCTCTTGTATGTAATTTTGTATAACCCTGAGGGTCTCCTTCCATTTCCATGCAATTTCCCTTCTCTCTCCCTTTCCCTCCCACCTCTCATCCCTGTTTAATGTTAATCTTCTTCTCATGCTCTTCATCCCTACTCTGTTCTTAGTTACTCTCCTTATATCAAAGAAGACATTTGGCATTTGTTTTTTAGGGATTGGCTAGCTTCACTTAGCATAATCTGCTCTAATGCCATCCATTTCCCTGCAAATTCTATGATTTTGTCATTTTTTAATGCAGAGTAATACTCCATTGTGTATAAATGCCACATTTTTTTTATCCATTCGTCTATTGAAGGGCATCTAGATTGGTTCCACAGTCTTGCTATTGTGAATTGTGCTGCTATGAACATCAATGTAGCAGTGTCCCTGTAGCATGCACTTTTTAGGTCTTTAGGGAATAGACCGAGAAGGGGAATAGCTGGGTCAAATGGTGGTTCCATTCCCAGCTTTCCAAGAAATCTCCATACTGCTTTCCAAATTGGCTGCACCAATTTGCAGTCCCACCAGCAATGTACAGGTGTACCCTTTTCCCCACATCCTCGCCAGCACTCGTTGTTGTTTGACTTCAGAATGGCTGCCAATGTTACTGGAGTGAGATGGTATCTTAGGGTGGTTTTGATTTGCATTTCTCTGAGTGCTAGAGATGGTGAGCATTTTTTCATGTACTTGTTGATTGATTGTATGTCCTCCTCTGAGAAGTGTCTGTTCAGGTCCTTGGCCCATTTGTTGATTGGGTTATTTGTTATCTTATTGTCTAATTTTTTGAGTTCTTTGTATACTCTGGATATTAGGGCTCTATCTGAAGTGTGAGGGGTAAAGATTTGTTCCCAGGATGTAGGCTCCCTATTTACCTCTATTATTGTTTCTTTTGCTGAGAAAAAACTTTTTAGTTTGAGTAAGTCCCATTTGTTGATTCTAGTTATTAACTCTTGTGCTATGGGTGTCCTATTGAGGAATTTGGAGCCCGACCCCACAGTATGTAGATCGTAGCCAACTTTTTCTTCTATCAGACTCCGTGTCTCTGATTTGATATCAAGCTCCATGATCCATTATGAGTTAACTTTTGTGCATGGCGAGAGAAAGGGATTCAGTTTCATTTTGTTGCATGTGGATTTCCAGTTTTCCCAGCACCATTTGTTGAAGATGCTATCCTTCCTCCATTGCATGCTTTTAGCACCTTTATCAAATATAAGATAGTTGTAGTTTTGTGGATTGGTTTCTGTGTCCTCTATTCTGTACCATTGGTCCACCCGCCTGTTTTGGTACCAGTACCATGCTGTTTTTGTTACTATTGCTCTGTAGTATGGTTTGAAGTCTGGTATCGCTATACTGCCTGATTCACACTTTCTGCTTAGCATTGTTTTTGCTATTCTGGGTCTTTTGTTTTTCCATATGAATTTCATGATTGCTTTCTTTGTTTCTACAAGAAATGCCGTTGGGATTTTAATTTTTGGCATTGCATTAAACCTATAGAGAACTTTTGGTCATATCGCCATTTTGATGATGTTAGTTCTGCCTATTCATGAACAGGGTATATTTTTCCGTCTTCTAAGATCTTCTATTTCTCTCTTTAGGGTTCTGTAGTTTTCATTGTATAAGTCTTTCACCTCTTTTGTTAGGTTGATTCCCAAGTATTTTATTTTTTTTTGAGGATATTGTGAATGGAGTGGTTGTCCTCATTTCCATTTCAGAAGTTTTGTCGCTGATATACAGAAATGCCTTTGATTTATGCGTGTTGATTTTATATCCTGCCACTTTGCTGAATTCATTTATTCTAGTAGTTTCTTTGTAAACCCTTTTGGGTCTTCTAGGTATAGAATCATGTCTTCTGCAAATAGTGATAATTTAAGTTCTTCTTTTCCTATTTTTATGCCTTTAATTTCTTTCGTCTGTCTAATTGCTCTGGCCAGTGTTTCGAGAACTATGTTGAACAGAAGTGGTGAGAGAGGGCATCCCTGTCTTGTTCCAGATTTTAGAGGGAATGCCTTCGATTTTTCTCCATTCAGAATGATGCTAGCCTGAGGCTTAGCATAGATTGCTTTTACAATATTGAGGTATGTTCCTGTTATCCCTAGTTTTTCTAGAGTTTTGAACATAAAGCGATGCTGTACTTTGTCGAATGCTTTTTCTGCATCTATCGAGATGATCATGGTTCTTATTTTTAAGTCTATTGATGTGGTGAATAACATTTATTGATTTCCGTATATTGAACCAGCCTTGCATCCCAGGGATGAATCCTACTTGTTCATGGTGCACAATTTTTTTGATGTTTTTGTATCCGATTCTCCAGAATTTTATTGAGAATTTTTGCATCTATGTTCATTAGAGATATTGGTCTGTAGTTTTCTTTCTTTGAAGTGTCTTTGTCTGGTTTAGGAATCAGGGTGATGTTGGCCTCGTAGAATGAATTTGGAAGTTCTCCCTCTTTTTCTATTTCCTGAAATAGCTTGAAAAGTATTGGTATTAGTTCCTCTTTAAAGGTTTTGTAAAACTCTGCTGTATACCCATCCGGTCCTGGGCTTTTCTTAGTTGGTAGTCTTTTGATGGTTTCTTCTATTTCCTCAATTGATATTAGTCTGTTTAGGTTGTCTATATCCTCCTGACTCAATCTGGGCAGATCATATGACTTAAGAAATTTATCGATGCCTTCACTATCTTCTATTTTATTGGAGTATAAGGATTCAAAATAATTTCTGATTATCTTCTGTATTTCTGAAGTGTCTGTTGTGATATTGCCTTTTTCATCCCGTATGCTAGTAATGTGAGTTCTCTCTCTTCTTCTCTTCGTTAGCAT